AAGAATACCAATTTAAAGGGAAAACCAAAGTCTATATCGCATGAGAGGAGAATGCTACTAAGTTGGCAACAACACTGTGATTGTTGGAGGTCCTGCGAGGAGTTAATGCTATATAGGATAGAATAGTAATTTATTGTCACTTGTATTTTTTGCAAAGAAAAGTAAAAAAAGTGGTTAAGTCGCCATTTGGCGCCACCTGTTTTAATAACAGAAGGCATAGTTATGGAAAAAAAAACACAAAAGATTAAGACAAAGTTCATCTTAGTTCAATTCACATCTCCTGGTGGTTAGCACTGCTGCCTCACAGCACCAGGAACCTGGGTTCGATTCCACCCTTGGGTGACTGTCTGTGTGGAGTTTGCACATTCTCCCTGTGTCTGCGTGGGTTTCCTCCGAGGTGCTCCGGTTTCCTCCCACATTCCAAAGGTGTGCAGGTTAGGTGGATTGGCCATGTTAAATCGCCCCATAGTGTCCAGGGTAATTTAGGTTAGGTGGGTTCGACATGGAAAATGCAGGGGTAGGGGAATGGGCCTCGGTGGGATGCTCTTGGAGGGGGCGGTGTGGACTTGTTGGACCAAATGGCCTACTTCTACACTGTAGGGACTCTATGATAGTACCATACAAAGCTGACAAAGCCACTGCCGAAGTGGAAGACCGCCACGCTGGACCGCTGGAATACCGGGCCAAAGGCTGCCACCAAAGCAGTCCATCTACGCCACAAGACTCCACAGACTCCCTAAGCCTCTCCGATCCCAGGCCAGAAGACGTCACATAAGTTGCCCAAAGGAATCCTGGGCCGCCGGATGATGAGCCGAAACTGCCGCCAACCTGGACTGATGGAATCCCGGGCCATGCCGCCAAAGACATTGAAGCAGGCCACCAGCAACATGGCTGCAATGACCACGAGGAACCACCATTGTCGCCACGGCAGCCGCCCAAAACACGCCTCCAACACCAAAGCCGCCAAAAGAAGGTAAGATGTTAAAATTAACACATGGAAAAAACAATTTAAAAAAGGGATGTGGCAGGCCTGGAAATCAGAAAGCAGACAGGCTCAGAAACCCAAGCACGTTCACCCTATCACCTTCATTTTGGATAAATATTTATATGATAATTAACAGTCAGGCATTGTTTAAATTTCAACCATACAGGTTGATTCTAATTAGTCAGGGCACAGCTCTGGGAAATGAACCAGCAAAAGACTGTCAACTGTTTTGTTGAGTTGAAGCAGACACAATGCTTGTACTTGATCTTTCTGCTTGTAAAGAACAGGGGCTTATGAATTAATACATGTAGTTTTCAATACATGCAAGCACACAATACTACAAGCCTGACACTGGTTTGGAAAGAACAAAAGCCAAAGTTGCCAGGAAAAGCTCAGGTCTGGCAGCATCTGTGAAGAAAAATCAATTAATGTTTTGGGCCTGGTGAACCTTCCACAGAACTGGTTTGGAAGGTGTGTGATGGTGAAGCATTATGCTAACATAGCTCACTTACTTCTTAACATGGATTCCTTAAATTCTCTTTCACAGCCTTGTTTCTGGAGCTCTTAGTGGCATTAAACCAGTCAGGACTTCTTTTCTCCTGCTCAGACTTCTGAACATTGCTAAATTGCACTGCTGTTCTTACAAGCTTTTGGATGATCTGTTTCTATCTGAAGGAAATCTACGCTCTCACTAATCTTCTAGATCATTCTCAGTTTCTACTGTCATCTCCCGGTGTCATAGGTCACATTAACGCTGGAAAATAGCCCAATTTTTTCCTCTCCCCTATATTTATTTTTCTGAAGCAGTGATAATTCATATCAAGGTTTTTGTTAACGTCTCATTTAAACGCACATAAACACATTTCCAGCTCAAAATGAAACCAAGTCTTTGCCTTCCTAACCCACACCACATAGAAATAATATCAAACTTAAAGCTATATGTGGCTCTGTCCACTTTCGTATCCAAATTTCCAAAGATTAATAATAAATTACGAACCTTCATCACAACTTATGAAACAATGTTAAATATCTTACGCATAATATTAAATGGACTTATCCAGCATATGTACTCTTTTAATTCTGATTATTGTAAAATACATTTCAAAAAGCTTGGGTCAAACAAAAAACAGACCGATTACCAGCCAAATAATGAAAAAAAACACAATAGCCAGCACACTGAAACTAGAGATGCTGACAAAACAAGCAATATTATCAAAGAGGCATGAGCAATGCTAAACTATGCTAGAATAAATTTATTTTGACAGTTTTATTTCAGCCTTGCACCATGCAAATGTCATGTCACTATTCCCACAATACAGAAAAGGCAAATTAGCAAGTTGCACACTGAGATACAGAATGAAACAATTGGACCCTCATCAAAAGGTCCTTCAGACTCTGGAGCTGGCAAGTTATTCTAATGACTGATGGAAAGTATCTCGGTGCAAGCTTTTCTTAATTAAGATAGAAATTATAGATATTTTATAATGTCCCCAATGTCAGATACATTAGGGACATTTAAACAACTCTTGGATAGGCACATGGATGATAGTAAAATGAAGGGTATGCAGGGTAGTTTGATCTTAGTGCAGGATAATAGGTTGGCACAACATCATGGGCCGAAGGGCCTGTACTGTGCTGTACTGTTCTATGTTCTATAACGTGAATACGAGTTCATAATAGCCAGGTCACATCAAGGCTTGAGTATTTTTTTAAAAATCTGGTTTCATTTTTGAAAAAACTGATTATTATGCATTGTGTATTCAAATAATTCCCATTTAGAAGTATTGCAAAAGTCCTCATAGCTGAAAAATTTGTAAGAGGTATTACAATGCATTTGTATGAGGTTTCTGTTTATTTAAAGAGATTAATAGTACTAGTACACTTGATTAAAGTAATAACTGCATTATAAAAACATTACCTTGTTTTATTGTTTTAAATGTAGCCATGTACCTCACAGTGCAACTTACTGTTTTAGAGTCATAGTCACACATGGAAACAGACCCTTTGGACTGACCAGACAGCCCAAACTAAACTAGTCCCACGTGCCTGTGCTTAGTCCATATCTTATTCATTTCTTATTCATGTACTTATCTAAATGTCTTTTAAATGTCATAACTGTATCGGGATCCACCACTTCTACTGGAAGTTCATTCCATACATGAACCACTCTGTAAAAAAAAAAAATAAAAAATAAAAAATAAAAACCCACCCGTCGTCATATTTAAATCTTTCTCCTCTCACCTTAAAAATATACCCCCAGTATTGAAATCCTCCACCCCTTATCATTAACCTATGTATAGCCCTCACAATCTTATAAAGTGACCTCTTATAAAGTGACCCCTGAATCTCCTACGCTTCAGTGAAAAACGTCCAAGCTATCCAGCCGTACAACTCAAACTATCCATTACTGGCAACATCCTGGCTCCCTTCAGAACCCTCTCCAGCTTAATAATATTCTTCCTGAAATGGGGCGATAAGAATTAGACTCATGAAGAGGCCTCACCATTATCCTGTACAACCTCAACAGGACATCCCAACTCCTATATTGAAAGGTCTGAGCAATGAAAACAAGCATGCTAAACACCTTCTTAAGCACCCCATCTATATGTGTATAAACTTGAAAGAATTATGTACTGAACCCCCAGGTTTCTCTGTTCTACAACAGTACCCAAGGCCCTACATTTAATTGTATAAGTCCTTCCCTTGTTTGCTTTACCAAAATGCAATACCTCTCACTGACCCAATTGATCAAGATGTCTTTGTAATCTCAGATAACCTTCTTCACTGTCCACTATATCACCAATCTTGGTGTCATCTGCAAAATTACCAACCATGTCTTCTATATTCTTATCGAAATCATTTATGTAAATGACAAACAAAAGTGGACCCTGCATCAATCCCTGTGGAACACCGCCGGTGACAGGCCTTCAGTTCAAAAAAACAACCCTCCACTATCACTCTGTCTCCTGCCGTTAAGCCAATTTTGTATCCAATTGGCAAGCTCACCCCAGGTCCTAAGTGATGTATCTTTACTAATTAGTCTACTCTACGGAACCTTGTGAAGGGCTTTTCTAAAGTCCAAGGAAACAATGTCTACTGCTCTGCCCTCAATCTTCTTGGTTACTTCCTCAAAAAACTCAATCAAGTTTGTGAGACACGATTTCACTTGCATAAAACCATGCTGACTATCCCTAATCGTTCCCTGCCTCTCCAAATGCATATAAATTCTACATTTCAGAATCACTTTCAACACCAAAGTCAGATTCACAGTATATTTTTTCCAAATTTAAACAATAATGCAACATTCTTGTACAGTTTTAGGATTAAAGTATATTTTGGGAAGAAAGATCATCTGTTTCACCCTTTGAATGTTAATGTAATGAAAGAAAATGTGGATACAGTGGGAAAGTGGAGCCAGCTAAAACATCATCCATAATCTGATTGAAGCAGGTTTAAGAGGCCACGTGGCTTATTCTTACTCAGTTTTTATAATCTTATGTTCTGATGTTGATGGAGAAACCCAAGGATAAATTCTCCCAGCCCCTGAATGGCATGGAGTGATTTAGTTGGGATTATATGACGCGATCAAAAAAATTAGGTTCTCACTACTGAGAGGAAAAAGAAATCCTGTTTTCCACCCAAGGTTTTAATGGCAAGACCAGAATTCTGCTACTCAGCAGTGAAAGGTCCATTTGCATGCATTACCTATTCTTGTCTAATACATGCAGTTTATTATTATTCTCTCATATGGCCAAGAGGAAGTAGACAGTGACAATTCCTAGCACGCAAGGCAGAATGAGTACCTGGTGGCTCTGGCGTGCTACGTACTCTTCCAGGTCTCCATTATGGCCAGCAGACCTAAACACCTCAAAGCAAAGACAGTCACCACGACTACCACGTGAGCTCAAGGACAGTGGTTCAGACATGGCCAGCAGTGCCAGCATCACAGGGCATACCCATGAGCAGCAAACGACTGCATCTGCCATCCAAGGCCAATGGTACTGACACACACTAGCCTCACCACAGCAGCATGGCACATCCCGAAATCACTTAAAGTAGAATTTAGAGGCTCACCATATTTCTGTCCCGCCTTCCCTCCTGGTCTATGTATAAAGCTTGGCAGCTCGTCATGTCTGCTAGCTATGATCAGCCAAGGAGATGAAAATGTTACATTATGGCACATCAATACCATGTCTGCAGCATGTGCCAACAGCTTACAGAGTTAAACAAATTGGATGGCCATTTCTAAGGGAGGGAGGGGTCACAGGAGAACAAAGCAAGGTGATCTGATATCAGTCCAGGGGCTTGGACAAGTTAGTCAGGCACTTGGCCAGTCAGGGTCAGGGGTTCCATATTGTTAAAGTTCAGAGAGGCAGCCAAGGTAGTCAGTGACGGTCGATCCATTGTGACCAGACAGCAATCAATAGTCAGTTGGGAACTGTACAGATGTCAGAGATCTGGTCACTCATCATCTGGGGCTGTCCTTCCAAGTCAGATGGCCAGAGTGGGGGCTGGCCACGATCAGTCCTAAACAATGCCAAGATATTTAGCTAATGGTATTCCCTTAGACAAGGTTCAAACACGTTACGGTTGATGTGTTAAGGATGAGTGGCCTATGTAGCTTCATTCTCACAGATGCAACTACTATGACAATTCATCAGATAGGTAGTGATGTAAAGTGACATTACACTGAACATTGGGAATTTCCAACACTATGAAGTTTCTTTCAACTGCCTCTCTGCACTCAAAGGCTTTTTTCATTTGTTTCCCTCCCACTATATGAACTGGGAAGGGCTATTAGTGGCTGGCAGTGAGTGACATGGTGCACTGCTGGTCTTTAATTACAGCTCCAGGGATAAAATCCTGGAAGGTCCTACCAATGGTTGGTACATCCACTGCTGGCAAGCACAAAGTAGCACAATAGTGGCACCATACAGGTTTGGTGCATATGCAGTAAACTGAACAACAGAGGACTGTGCAAGTTAAAACTCTACAGCTCATAAAGAAAAATCTTATGTGATAGCCTCAAAATTGGTACTTAGCCAATATGTAGTAAAATTCAGCTCACATGGTTTTCAAGTTAACTTACTGTGTTCACGTTCTTGGGATATTAACCAATCTATAAATCAGAAAAGACTGCAACTGAACTAAAAATCTGACCATTCCCACCACAGAGTTTGATCAAGACAATGCACAATTACAGGGTGAAATAACTGCACACAGGCCATTACTCCGTCACCAAGTCACCCTTTATTTACATGTGCACAGTACACTGGCTCTGGCCAGCCAGCTTAGAGTCAGTCCCCTAAAATTAGGAGATTCTAAATCCCCTTTTCTTTTAACCTTTTCTTTCAAATCAATCTGTTCAGAGATATTATTACAAATGCCTACAGCAGATGGGAATTGAACCCAGGCCTCTCTGGTCCAGGGGTAGGGGCATACCTGTGCAAAACAAAAGGGCCTCCTCTGCTGTTTATATTGGTCAGCCAGGGCATCCTGATTGGGGATGTTAACCTGGAGCAATCAAGGATCTTGTAGTCAATGAGGTCCACCTGGTTCTAATCACTACATCCATCCCCCCTTTAAGTCAGGGGAGGTAGGTTTGGTCTTTCTCCTGCAGCTTTTCCTACGAAGTTTTCACCCCAGATCCGGTTCCTCTGACTCGGACTCTGACACAGGCGGCACGTACTGGACTGTACCCCATCTCTTGCATCCAGAGTGTCTCAGAAGAGTTTCCTTCTCCTCTCCTGGTGGCAACGATATTGAGGCTGCATCCATCTCAAACTCTGAGGTTTCCTCAACGCTAGATAGAGAGGGGAAATCCTACTGTTTCTGGCAGGCCTCTGGCTCTTCTGAGGGGCCAGGTATGCAAGGAAACAGCTTTCAGATAAGCCACGTTTGAGCAGGACCTGACCTCACATCAACCTCAACTTATACCTATAAAGGGCCATTTCTATGGTTCTGGCACCAAATTTCATCCCCTGAATTAAACTGTCTCTCTTGCTTAGAGGAAGCATGTGGCTGGCACTGCATTCCTGCTGCCATTTCACCCTCCCTCCAAAGGTCTGAGAAAATCAGGTTTAACCTGGCATCCAACGCTGGCCTCCAGACATAGCTTCTTGCTAGCATCTTCATCTTGGAAACCCCTGGATGACCTTGGTGGAGTTCAGCCAATATCTGGTGGCAACCTTTACTAGGGACAATCACCGTTGCTCCCCACGGTAATATGGCATCCTCCACGGTGATGTGGTCTCGCTGGGTCTAGAAAGATCACAATCCTGGTTGCGATGGGTCTTCTGTTTCTCCCATTACCACCAGCTGTTTTAGTTTTGCTAGGACAGGATCTTGTTGTGTCCACAGTCAGATATTATCAGCAGTGACTGGAAGTATCCAGGAAGTTTAAAACCAGAATGGACTCTTCTAGGGGAAGCACCACTGGTGGAGTATCCGCTAGTGGAAGGCGGCTCAACACAACCGCATTAGCCACTTAGCTTCCTGGACAGTGCTGAGAATAAGGGCCCAACGCCGAATTCTACCAGAAAGTGTGGGCGGCACCACCTTGTCTTCCTTCAGTAGCCCTAGCAGGAGTTTGTGATATGTTACTATGACAAATTCCCATCTATAAATGTATTGGTGGAACTTCCTCACACCAAAGATGACCACTAAACCTTCCTTCTCTATCTGAGCATATTTGCATTCAGCATCAGCCAAAGTCCGGGAAGCGTACGCTATTGGGTGTTCCTCTGTTGGGCCACTGGTGAGCCAACACTACTCTGACACAGGGAGGCATCGCACATCAGCATTACTTCTCGCTTCAGATCATGCTGGGCCAACACCTTAGATGACAATAGCTGCTATTTCACTTCTCTAAAGGCTACATCCTAGCTATGCGATTATTTCCAAGGCTGACTCTTTTTCAATAGCAGGTGTAAGGGTGCCAAGATGGAAGTCAGGTAACGTATGAATTTTCCATAATAATTCACTAACCCAAGAAAAGACATAAGCTCCAGAACACACGTGAGAGCCAGGGCCCTCACTTTATCTTCCAATGGTCACTTGTGGCACCTGAAACACACATTTTCCCCTTTTAAGGCCTGGGAGAATTGTCTAAGCACTTTGTCCAAGTTCTCCAAGTACTCTTTATTGGTCTTGCCAGTTCATAGAATCA